AATAATTCCTGCGACCTTACTGCTTTCACCGACCACTATTGCTCCTAGTTCAACCCACGAGCAAGCTAATTTCCCCTCATTGGTTCAGTCTCTCTATTTCTCTTTGTTTCTCTCTGTCTCTCTATATGTGTGAACAGGGTTTACAAATCCTTGGTAGACGTATAAAGGTATATATATAGGCTTATACAAATACCAACCCTAATTCTAATTATATTGAGAGAAGGAAAAGAAAACTAACCTACATGCATAACTAAGTCGGCTACATCCGTGAAGAAAATAAAACCCTAAAACTATTAAAACATTTAATTCAGTAATCCACATAAGCATATAACAAGGAAAACAAATAATTATAACAAACAATTAAATAAAACATTCAAATAAAATAAAGAATACAATTAATTCAATTCAAAAGAACAACAAGTACAATTAAATAAACACCTAAATAAAACAATTCATTTAAATAACACCATTCACAATTAATTCAAATAAACAAGGAAATAAACAATTAAATAATTAAAAAAAATGCAATTAAACAATACTTAAAATGCCGAGACTATCCTTTTAAAATTAGGGGTATTACATTCTTTCCCCTTAATAAAAGGAATTCCGTTCTCGGAATTTGCTCTTACCTTATTCCACTATGTTAGGAAATTGCGAGCGAATGACATCCTCCTGTTCCTAAGTAGACTTAGCCTCATTGTGATGACTCTACCGAACATGCACTAAAGGGATAACCTTTTTACAAAGGATTTGATCCCGATGGTCGACAATACGACACGGTGACTCCAAATATGTTACATCCGGTGGCAAATCGATTTCCCTAACATCGATATGCTGATACCGATCCTCATCTGAATCTCCAAGGCACGAGTACGACGATCTGGGTAACTCTTCTGCCGACTCTGGACAGTGCACTTGTGATCCCTTATTAGAGCAATCTTCTCAGAGGTATCCTTAATGAACTCAGGACCTAAAAATCTGTTCTTGCTAACCTCCATCCAACAAACAGGCGATCGACACGGTCGGTCATACAATGCCTCAAATGGCACCATACCAATAGTCTTCTAGAAACTATTGTTATTTGGAAACTCCAAAAGTGGCAAATAATCCTCCCAATTGCCCTTGTAATCCAGAACACATGAACGAAGCATATCTTCCACGATCTGATTAACCCTCTCAGTCTGTCCATCAGTCTGAGGATGACAAACAGTGCTAAGATGCAACTCTGTGCCCAAAGCCTGCTGAAAACTCTTCCAAAATCTTGACACAAAGCTCAAATCCCTGTCCAATATAATAGATAACAAAATGTCATGCAGCTTTACAATCTTTGCAATGTAAAGTCTCACCAACTGCTGGTGCATATACATACATATAAGTAGGACTTAACTTTTATAGTTAATCCAACTTATTCCAGAATAGGTAGAACTTAGTATTTTGAACTAATCCGTCCCTAGTATGCCACCATACCATACTGGTGCATACACATACAACCAATCCAACAATTGACAAAACAGTACAAACAGTTCATCAATTATAATTCAGAACAATATAATAATAATCAAAATCGTTACTGAACACATTATTGTGAAATTCTTAAACGTAAATTTCATAACAATCTATAAATCCAATAATTGATGCAATCTAAACCGTTAAAACATCAATTAACTCCATATAAGCATACTACAGTTTCAGTTAATCAATTATGCTTATTTCAATGCTTAAACATGATTAATACTGTTTAATCATATATACACAAAATGCTAGCATTATAGTAAGCAATTAAATCCTCAAAACAGTCCAGAAATTGATACCATTTTTAATAAATTAAATATCAATTTAATCCAAACCAAGCCTAGTTAATTGCCGGTATTCCATCACCCTTATAACATTGTTGAAATATGATTAAATATTATTTAATCATATGCGAAAGATTTGGTAAATTTTAGTAAGCAAACAACTTAACAAAACAATGCTCAACACGTAGGCTTTTCTTTATCTTCATGTTACTTCATTCTTTAATACACTAATGTGATAATGCTTCCTAATATTTTCATAGGTCCATCATAATTAATTACATCCTTCAGTGCAATTTAAACGGATTAAAAATACTCTGGATAGCCTCAACAGCCCATAAAAAGATCAAAACTGTGCGTTTCGGGCGAGAGCAGGCTCTAAGTTGAGAGCCTGCTCCATTAACTTGGGAGCCTGCTCTAAGGAGTTGGGAGTAGGCTCCATACTCCTTGGAGCCGGCTCTATCAATGAGGGAGTTGGCTCCCACCTTTTGGGAGCATGCTCTCTCACTCCCTGAAGCCGTTATGTGTTTCTGCTTCGTCTTCCTCGCCTCTGGCTATACTCAGGGCCTCTGTAATGTTTTACATACTTGTTCTAGTATGCATTCAATGTCCCAGATTAATTATAAGACATCAACATGCATCAACGATCTCAATTAAACAAAGCATAAACTCAAAGACAGCAAAAACCAGTTAACAGAACTTTAAGAAATTGCAAACCAGTTTAATTCAACGAGTTTAAATATAGTTTAAACATGCGTAAAAGATTTGTTTTAGCATTAATTAAACCCCTGGAGTCTACCTAGGCATGCACAGAACACAAGTTTAAGGGAAAGAGTTAGAACAAAAACTTGTCTTTAGGTTTCCATTCAAAACCTTAAACCGTCGTCTTTAATAATTCCGGCAACCTTATTGCTTTCACCGACCACTGTTGCTCCTAGTTCAACCCACGAGCAAGCCAATTTCCCCTCCTTGGTTCAGTCTTAGTCTAAGCCAAACCCTAATCTTCCTCTCTCTATTTCTTTCTGTTTCTCTTTCTCTCTCTCTCTCTGTGTATGCGTGAACAGGGTTTACAAACCCTTGACAGATGAATAAAGGTATATATATAGGCTTATACAAATACCAACCCTAATTCTAATTATATTGAGAAAAGGAAAGGAAAACTAACCTACTTACATAACCAAGTCAGCTACATCCGTGAAGAAAATAAAACCCTAAAACTATTAAAACATTTAATTCACTAATCCAAATAAGTATATAACAAGGAAAACAAATAATTAAAACAAACAATTAAACAAAACATTTAAATAAAATAAAGATTACAATTAATTCAATTCAAAAGAACAACAAGTACAATTAAATAACCTAAATAAAACAATTGATTTAAATAACATAATTCACAATTAATTCAAATAAACAAGCAAATAAACAATTAAATAATTAAAAAAATACAATTAAACAATACTTAAAATGCCGAGACTATCCTTTTAAAATTAGGGGTATTACAACATGTCACGTGTTCCCTATGCTAGTGCAGTTGAAAGCTTGATGTATGCAATGGTTTGCACTCGCCCTGATATTTCACGTGCAGTCAGTGTAGTTAGCAATTATATGGATAATCCAGGAAAAGAACATTGGCTTGCCGTGAAGTGGATTCTTCCGTATTTGAAAAGTACTGTAGATATTGGCTTAGTTTATTAGAAAAGCAGTGATGATTTTGGCAGTGTTGTTGGTTTTGTGGACTCCGATTATGCTAGTGATTTGGACCGAAGAAGATCTCTGACAAGATACATCTTTACTCTCTCAGGTTGTGTAGTTAGTTAGAAAGCAACTTTGCAATCAACAGTTGATCTCTCTACTACAGAAGCAGAATATATGGCAGCCACTGAAACAGTGAAGGAAGCCATTTGGTTAAGAGGTTTCGTTAGTGTTTTGGGTATGCAGCAGAGCTCTTACTTACTGTGACAGTCAGAGTGCAATATATTTGACCAAAAATCAAATGTTTCACGAGAGAACCAAACACATTGATGTCAGATATCATTTTATTTGGGATGTCATATCAGAAGGAATTACTATATTGTAGAAAATTGGCATAGTTGAAAATCTAGCGGATATGATGACAAAGTCTATTCCGACTCTCAAGTTTAAACATTGCTTGGACTTGGTTGGTATTCTCAAATGTTGAAATTGTCCTTAGGGGCTTAGTGGAGAAGACATTTTGTTTTGCAAAGATATAGTGGCTCATTTGAATTTTCGCTAATGTGGAGATTTGTTGAATATTGTGACTCAATTATATCACCCATTACATCATCTCCTTGCCAGCCAAGTATGTGTGATCAACAAGAATTCTTGGTCACCAAGCATGCATGGTCACCAAGTATTGAAGCAGCCTCAGTCTTGATCAGCAAGTGGTGTTTCGTGACCCATTTTTTTGCTATAAATAACTTACTCTCCATGGTGTTTCATCCATTCGAAAATCATCCAACAAATTGAGTGAGAATTTGCTCAATAAAGAAAAGTAAAGTGTGAGAGAGTTTGGGAGTAATTTGGGTTTTGGGTGTGAGTCACTTTACCTTATATCTCTTTATTTCTATAGTGAAACATTGATCTGTCTTCTTTCCGTGGACGTAGGCATAGCCGAACCACGTAAATCCTTGTCTCATTTGTGTATACGTTATTTTGTTTTCTTGTCATTTATTTTTTCTCTCGTTCTCATAAATTCCTATTCGATCTTTATTTCATAGCAGAGAACACCATTTAAAATATGTATGTGAGTGAGGAACACTTTGTTAGTATTTTTGAAGTTGGGTATGAGAGTTTAAGTTGGAAATAGCATTCAACAAAATCCAATTGGTTGATAATTTTAATAACAATGTCTTAAATCTTAACCCAAATTCAATTTCAATGGTAAAAATGTCACTATGTAATGTTCAATTCTACAAAATTGACATTTTAGAATTAAAATTAAAAAAAAAAATTAGTTTAAAATTTAAAACAAAAATATTCATCACATTTGAGTCTGGTTGACCGGTTTAAGTTACAGCCCTGATTTTGCCAGCAAAACTCCGTCCCACGAAAACCGCTTTTCCTCTGGGGGGTTTGTCTCTCTCCTACATAAACTCATTTATTCTCCCTGTTTATTGCATTTTCTTTCTTGCTCTGTTCTTGTCCTACAAAACGTACTCTTCACCCATGAAGAACAAAGACGAAATGGCCACTAAGCAAGAAATGATCAACAGAAGGAGAAAATCATCAGAGCCCCAACAACAACAGTATCATCTCTATGATATCCAGCTGACTCTTTCTACACCTTTTCCTTCCACCACCCCACCGACACCGCCGCCACCACCACCCCTGCAAGAAGAACAAGAAGACCATTATAATGATCTGCAGTTTACTCTACCACCACCCCATGTCATCTACATGGACCCTTTGGGCCTAATGCCGGTCTGGAATCCTACACCCCTCACTACAGTTCCGCCGCCACCACCACCACCACCCCTGCAAGAAGAACAAGAAGATCATGATAATGATGTGCAGTTTACTCTTCCTCCTCCACCACCACCCACAGTGCTGCAACAACCACAACAATCATCTTTGCCACCGCCCCATTTCTTCTGCATGACACATTTCGGCCCAATTCCGGTCTGGTATGCTATACCCCTCACTACAGTTCCGCCTTGGGCCACCACTCGCCGAGCCACCATCCACAGTCTTGCTCATCTTGAATCCCAACAAATCTTTACCATCACAGGAGAGGTCCATTGCGAGATATGCTGTAAACGCTACGAAATTCAATATGATCTTAAAGAGAAATTCAATGAAGTGGGTGATTTCATAGTAAAAAACAAAGACATGCTTGGTCGAGCTCCACAGAAATGGTTGAACCCTGTTCTTCCAATCTGCAACTTCGGTCAAGAACAGGGCAATTACAGAGTGAAGCCAGTGATTGCAGAGAAGAAGAGAGAGATCAATTGGCTGTTTTTGCTTCTGGGTCAGATGATTGGATGTTGTAGTGTCTCACAGTTGAAGTATTTCTGCACACACACCAAGAATCATCGATCAGGAGCCAAGGATCGACTTGTTTATCGTACTTATCTTGGACTCTGCAAACAGCTTCAACCCAATGGCCCTTTTTGATCCTTATTGAAGATTCTTCAAATATAGATAAGCTGTTATTGTTTGTTTTTAGAGTTTGTATGAAATGAATTGTTACTTGGTGCTAATTAGTTCATTGCTAATGTTCATATGATGAAATTTTTTTCATTCATTTGTTTAGTTATATATGAATTGTTATTTATTTGTTTGCTGTTCTTTTGAAATAAAATCAAATTGGTCATTCCTTCCTTTGAAATAAATTATAAATGAATTGTAAATAATTTGTTTGCTGCACTTTTTTGTTTTTAATAATGTGTGTGTGTGAGAGAGAGAGAGGATTATGTGTCCAGAATTCATGAATACAAAGGAAGCTTTGTGTTGGGAAGGACTGATTAGGAATAATTAAAATTCAACTATTTATTTTAAACAAAATAAATGGAATTATGTTTAGTTAATTAAGGAGGTATAATTAAGGTTTAGGTTTAATAGCTAAGTTTTAAGTTTTTATTTAAAGCCTTCTATCAATGGATTTCAAATAAGAAGGTGAATGGAAATATATGAAGTTCATGCTGACAATGATTTAGTTGTATTATTAGACTTGTAAAAAATGTTTCTCATACCTTTTTTTTTTTTTTTTTTTTTTTCTCGACATTTCCCTTGAAAGTTGAGGATGTACTGGGTCACAATTCTTGGACTACATATCCTCTGCCTTTGAAATCTAATTTGTGAGGCTGTGGAGTTGCATTGAACATGGGTGTAGAACGGAGGAAATGGGGTGGGGGTGGTGGAATTGGCGTAGTGGGAGGAAAAGATGAAAGAGTTAGCTGCAGATGGTTCCTTTAGTTAACTTGGATGTCACTGGCTGTTGAGTAGATGAAAGCATGAAGACTTGGGCTGGTGAAGTGTTAGTTTTATTATTTGTTTATTTAATTCTCAACAGGAGAGGCTTCTTTTTTTCCCTTATTTCTTGTTTTCTATATGTTTGAACATAATTTTTTATTTTTTATTTTTGGTTCTCGACTAAAAAAAGTGACTTTTGGATCTTTGTTTTTGCAATCCCTTTTTGCCTTTATGAGATTGAAATTGAATATTAGACATATCCGATCCCTTATCCATATTCCATATTTTGTTTTGGTCAATATTATATATTTTATTCTTTAATAAGATTTCCTTTTATTGAATTAAAAAAATTATTATTTTTAAATATTGTAGATGTTCACCAATCAGGTCATCATTTGATTTCTCAGTGTAACCCTTCTTTGTAGCTTTGAATTTTCAATTTTTAAAATCAAATAAAAGAAACTATTTCTAAATTATATATAAGGCATCAATAAATTCCTAACCATGAAGAGTTAATTACTACAAAATATGTACACAATTACTAATTAACTCAATCCATATATACACAATTACTTATATAACATTTTTTAATCCGAACTCGTAACGCTCTTTAGACGTGAGTGTTAGAATTTATTATGAAATTATTTTTAAAATAACTTCTTCCAAAGATCAAAATTATACTTGTACATACAAATTTTGTAAGTCTGCAAATAGAAACAAAATATTGAGCAAATCGTAATTTATTAATTTGTAAACAATTGGAGTACAATCCTCTATAATAATATTCTTTACAAAAAGAATGGTCCTCTGATTCAATCTCCTTTTTGTTGTTGGTTGGATCCAAAGGCTGCACGAGCTTGTTCTTGAATCATCATGGAATTTGATGAAGAACGGCACGTCGTTGGATGTGCTTGTTGTTGATCACCGTGGAATTTGATGAAGAACGGTACGTCGTTGGATGTACTTGATGTTCTTCGCTTTTGGGTTTGGATTCTGAATTTGTGTCCTAACTTCTGAGTCTATGGATTTCTGAACTCCTGAATTCTGAATTTCTGAACTTCATTCTGAATTTATGTCCTTTGTTGAATTTGAGGAAGAACGTCACGTCCTTGGATGTGCTTGTTGATCTCCGTCTTCAGAGAGGATTTGTTGAATTTGATGAAGAACAGCACGACTTTGGATGTGCTTGGTATTCTTCACCTTCAGATTAGCCCTCGGGATTTCTGGCCCTCTGGATTTCTGATTCTCTCAATTTCTAAACCTTCTGGATTTCTGGACTCTGAATTTTTTGTCCCCTCTCCCTTCCTCCAGGCCTTTATTTATAGGTTTCTTGGATCCATAGGATGATGACACGTGTCCTTTCTGATAAGGAAAATATCATAACAGGGCTGGGCCGGTTATATTATGATAATTATCCTTAAAAATAATTATTCCAAATATATTTTATTAGGAATAATTATCTTTCCATTTAATCATTTGGGCTGGGCTAATTAAATAATTTAAGTGGATTAGGTTTGGTCCAATTAAATAACTTAATTAAACATTAGGATCATACTTAATGGGTCCATTTGTCAAAACCAAAGCCCACTAAAATTTTAGTGTCTACAAATTGCCCCCACTTCAAGTCCCTAGATTAACAGGACTTATCTCCTTTTTCAAGTGGGACTTGAAGTATCTAACTTTTCATATATTTTTTTTTTTTTTTTCAAATTTGGATTGGAATTTGACTTTCCTATTTGAATTGAATTGTCCAAATCCTAATACAACTTGGAGGTATCTTGTTGCCTATATATACCCTTAATATTGTAGAGTTTGACATCAATTCCAATAATTTCTGAAGACTTGTCAGATTATAACCTCTGAAGATTTTGTTGGATTTTGGCATCTGTTCGAACAAATAATTGGTATAACTCTTTTTTTTTTTTTTTTTTTTTTTCTCCCTCTCTCTATCTCTCTTTCTTTTTTCTTCCTTTTCTTGCACTCTTTTTTTTTTTCTTTTTCTTTTTTTTTTTTTCTTTTTTTTTCACAAATATTTTTTTATTAGTCCGTAAGGACCCATTGTTCCTTCGGAACGCAACTTGTCCGTAAGGATCCATTGTTCCTTCAGAACGCATTTAGTTCGTTGTTCCTTCAGAACGCAACTTGTCCATAAGCACCCATTGTTCCTTCGGAACGCAACTAATCCGTAAGGACCCATTGTTCCTTCGGAAGGCATCTAGTCCGTAAGGACCCATCATTCCTTCGTAAGGCAACTAGTCCGTAAGGACCCATTGTTCCTTCGGAACGCACCTAGTCCGTAAGGACCCATTGTTCCTTCAGAGCGCACCTAGTCCGTAAGGACCCATTGTTCCTTCGGAATGCAACTAGTCCGTAAGGACCCATTGTTCCTTTGGAACCAAAATCTTTTATACATGCCATTCCACACTTTTGATTTTTATTTTTTTGATTTTTTTTTTTCAGGGGGTGCTAGTCAACCATGGTATTTTTCAAGAGTTTCAAGCCCCATACTATCACCGTTTTGGAACGCGAACAAACTTTGAGAGGTCATGCCACCAGCACAGACAGTGTCGTTAACAGTCATAAATCAATCCAGAGAGCAACGACAGATGTAGTCTTCATTAGCCACAGATGAGATAACAATCATTCAGAGAGTAAGAGCAAACTCCAAGAGGTCAGACCACTAGCATTGTTAGCCATCGCCAGAATGTCTTCATTAGCCATAGATCATCTAGCAGCCATTGATAGAGCGAGACCATACTCTGAAAGGTCATACCATCAGCATCATTAGCCATTATCAGTTCTGATGATGATTTCAAGCCGAAGCTCCACCAAAAGATCTGACTCAGTGTATAAGTTTACTTATGCACCTGACACCAGTAGTCACTTGACATGAAGTTACCGAGTTACGCAAGTGTGCTTGTGCATATCTGTCTCGAAGATAGAGCTCTGTTGTAGATGCTGTAAGGATGTGACAGACAAAGCTTGCATGCTTATGCCTCTGTGTGGTGATTTGTTTTTACTTCAGCAATATTTTGGCGACGCCGTGAATTTTTCTTGACGCAATACCTCAATAGAAAACCAAATTTCTTTTTTAGCAACACCTCGGCGGCAAAATTTTTTTTTTTTTTAGCGACACCTCGACGATGAGTCAAAACTTTGTTGCAGCAACACTTTGGCAATGACCTGAATTCTTCAGTGACGCCTTGGCAGCAAGTCAATTTTATTTATTTCTTCCAGCCATAACTCGATGATGAATAATTTTTTTTTTTTTCTTCAATGATAGCTCAACGAAAATCTTTTCCAGCAATACTTCGGCGGCGAGCAGAATTTTTTTTGGCCCCTACAGTCTGGTGATGAACCAATTTATTTCTTCACAACTACACTTTACCAGATCAAAATTTCCTTTGTAGCTACAATTATGGCAAGGGACCAAAATTCTTCTGTGTAGCTACATTTTGGTGGTGGGCCAAATTTCTTCGTTGCAACTACAATTTGGCGACAGACCAAAAATTTCTTTGCAACTACACTTTGTTGGCATGCCAAGTTAACAGGTGTGACGAGCACTTTTGATATCATGCGATGAGCACACTTTGCCCTTTTTTTTTTAGGTTGACTGAACTTGGAACAAATTTCCAAGATGCCTACATACCCTAAACAGGGATCAAGTCATTATGTAGTTCACAAATTTTTTTTTTTTTTTTTGGTAGACAGTTTATACTCATGTCATTTTTTTTTTTTTTTCTTCAGCCAGACAATTTATACTCGTGCCAAGGAGTGTTGTTTTTTTTTTTTTTTTTTTTTTTCTTCAAGTAGACAGTTTAAACTCGTGTCAATGAGTGTCAATTTTTTTTTTTAGGTAGACAGTTTAAACTCGTGTCAAGGAGTATCATTTTTTTTTTTTTTTTTCAGGTAAACATTTTAAACTCGTGTTAAGGAGTGCTTGCTTTTTTTTTTTCTTTCAAGTAGACAGTTTAAACTCGTGTCAAGGAGTGTCATCGACAGTTTAAGCTCGTGTCAGGGAGTTCTTAATTTTTTTCCAGGTAGACAGTTTAAACTCGTGTCAGGGAGTTCTTGATTTTTTTTTTTTTTTTTTTTTTTTTCAGGTAGACAATTTAAACTCATGTCAAGGAGTGTTATTTATTATTTTTTTTTTTTTGGGAGATAGTTTAAACTCGTATCAAGGAGTTCTTGATTTTTTTTTT